CGTATGCCATGAGCTAGAGCCCGGGACGCGCAGTGCCAGGGTTCCGGGGAGGAGCCCTGATGGCCCCGGGCAGCCTGCTGTGTTCAGGTCTCAGAATACAGCCTACAGCCAAGTGCCAGGCAGCCTGGCTCCCTGGGGGAGACCTGGGGAAGCCATGGGAACCTGGGTGTTCCCTTGGGTGGGCCTGGCTGACATGTGGCCCATGGTGCCCTCCTGGACACATGGGGGCATCTTGCACTGAGACCCGCTCAGCTCATGGTCAGAGCTGCTGTATGAGACAGAGCCCTTGTGTTGTGCACCAAACCAGGGAGCCCCTGAGGTCCCGGGTAAGCAGGGGCTGCTTCAGGGGTCCCCAGGAAACCGGGTGCCACTTTATTTTTCTTGGCATTTGCTAAACTATCAGCTGACAGATGCAGATGGTAGTTAATGAAGGCAAGCCATGGGCCAGCCTGGCACACGCTGTGCCTGACACCCCAGAACCCACTCATCTTGAAGCTGCAAGTGAGAAGCCTCAGGCCAGTGCCCACCCCCCATTTCCCAGCCTCCCTGCCCCCGGTGGGCCCCTTTACCTCTCCACTTCCACGAGCTCCCTTTGTTCAGACTGCACGAGTCCCTGAGCTCACACAGCGTCTGTCTGCCTGTGTCTGGCTTATTCCTCTTAGCATGACGTCCTCAGCTTGGTCCACGCTGATGCAAATGCCTGCTGTCCCGCCACAGACTGATGGCAGGGGTGGCTCTCAGTTCTTCTCCACGGCCCCATCCGCGGCTCCCTGCCACCCCAGAGGGTCCCCTCACACCTCCCAGCGCTGCCTCCTCCTCTTCCCTGCTGGTGGGGTTCTCCCAAGGATGGAGAAGAAAGCACTAGCAATTGTGGATGTGAGCCAAGCCCTGTGATGGACATGGGAGCTAAAGTGATGCAACTCATGTATGTACCCAGGCAGCAGCCCCATTTCAGGGGCTTTTATGGTGATGGGGAGGAGAAGCATTTACAAATTGGAATGTGCAATGCAAGTGAAGTGGAGAGACGCGCACTAGGGACCCAAGTAGTAAGGCAAAGTCTTAGGGTTGTGAGCCAGGTCTACACGGGACGCGGAGTGCTTACTCACATAATCCCACTTGGTCTTCACAGCCAGCCTACGAGATGGGCAGCATCTGAGCGCTTTTCTCTGTTGGCCTATGAGTGAATGAGGCGCTAGCAGGTGGGATGGTCTCGCAAGGGCAGCGATGCACGTCCACACCGCGGGGTCTGACTCCCGACCTCCGCCTGCCTCTCTCATGGATCATCCCACATCAGTTACTCTTCTCAACAGCCCCGAGGGGAAGCTCTGAGCCCAGGCAGAAAACAGGGGCTGGACGAGGACAGGGGACTCAGCCGAGGCTGGTCAGGAGCACAAAGGCCACTTCAGGTCTTGCAGGCTCAGGGTACCACTGCCCTGGGAGAATGCCGGCCCCAACACTCTTTTTATTAAAATAATAATAATAATAATAATGCCCTGACCACAGTACCTTTACAGTTTTTCTCCTCTAAACTGGAAGCTCCTATTTTATTTTCAAAATTTTATTTCATTTTATTTGTTAAGCTTTTTATTAATATAAAGGGACCAGATTTCATTTATATAATTCTAGGAAGATAACCATATTTCCTTCTCCCCTCCCTCCACCAACCGCCTTCCTTCCTGCTTCCTTTTTTTTCTTTAATTTTTGCAAAAATGTAATTTCAACCTGCTCTATAATCACAGGCTTAACGCACCTCCAACAATACTATTCAACAAATAATTAAGGCTCAACCCTTGAGTGACAGCGAGCGTTGATTTGCTGGTGTTGATAACACTGACACCTTGCGGCCATTTAGCAGAATTGCAACATCCGAACGTCAGGCAAGAAACACCTTCCCCTTCCAGACTTCAAAACCTGCAGGAATTGTAGTCACCCGGTTCCCCTCTCCCAGTCCTTGGAGGATTTTCAGGACAATCAGCCCCGACCTGCTCCCAGGGGACGGGCACACACCTCCAACCTGAGCGTCCACCACCACGGCTTCTCCTGGTCTTGCATCTACCAGTTCCTGCAGTGAGCCCAAGCCCTGCGGACACCGCCTTCCACCAGAGCCTTTCTCCTACACTTTCTAAAGCAAAATCGCGCCACTCTCCTCCTCGGAGTCTTTCCAAGGCTGCCCATCACACTCGAGGCAAAGCTCAAGTTCAACACCGTGACATACATGACAGCAGCCAAAGAAGAGGAGCTCTGTCCACAGCACGGGCTCCCTGCGGGGTTGGACGTTAACTCTGAAGTTGCTGGCCTGCAGAGAAGTGCAGGGGTCGCCAGGGAGGAGCTACAGGGGGCACCTGGGGCCTTGATATCTGTCAACCAGTATTGTGACAGCCAGCACTGCCTGTTAGGTGAAGCGGTGACAATTGGCTCTGCACACAGCCCATTCTGAGCTTGCCTATCCCTGCACCCCGGGGACATGATCAAGGCCTTGGCAGATTCACCTCCTATACCTGGCAGGCTCAGGCCTTGCCAGCTCAGGGGCCAGGGGTGGGCCACCTTCTCCGCTCCCCCTCCTGCTTCCGCCAGCCCTATGCACCTCACCCTGCTCTTCTTCTCTCCTCTCGCCCACTTCCCAGGCCCTGGCTCCTCACTGTCTCCACCACCCCAGCAAGAGCACCAGCCCCAGGAAACCGTGGAGACCCCTGGATGAAAGTGAACCACAGAGCCGGAGGAGCCAGCTGCCCGAGACTCAAGACAAAGCCACGCCGCCTTTGCAGTAGAAACCCCAGCGCCTAGAACGGTCTCCACAATCTGTGACTGCGCACACCCCCTGCAGAATCTGAGCATTTGTCACACACACACACACATGCACACAGAGACCACACACGTACACATGCACCACACATGCACACACACCACATGCACACACACGTACAGAGACCACACACCACACATACCACATGCACACACACACGTGTACACAGAGACCACACATGCACACGCACCACATGCACACACATGCAGGTACAGAGACCACACACACCATACATGCACACACACCACATGCACAGAGACCATACATGCACATACAACACACGTGCATACACCTCACACATGCACACACAGCACACGTGCACACACCTCACACATGCACACACCTCACACATGCACACACACACATGCACACACAGCACACGTGCACACACCTCACACATGCACACACCTCACACATGCACACACAGCACACGTGCACACACCTCACACATGCACACACACATGCACACACAGCACACATGCACACACAGCACACGTGCACACCATAGATGCATGTTCTTATGATCAATTTTACATGTGCCTATTAGGTTAAAATCTTAAGCATATAAAACAATACTTTGAATAGTATGAGCACACATGTTAATGCACTGTAAAGTATAAAACAATGATGTCAGCACAGGGTCTAAGGTTTTCCCATGTCTCAACGGGGCCATCCCAGGGGTCCCTGCTGAGGTGCCACTCTGCACGCAGGTCCACACCTCCCAGGATTCTAGGTTTCCATCAAAGCGCAGTCTGGAGACTCAGATCAGCCCATTAACCTACCTGGAACCCGTCTTACGCACCACACATTCTAACCTCTATGGGGCCGAAAAAGAAAGACGAAAGAGAGCCCATGATGGCATCCTCTGCAAGTGGCAAAGAAAGATCTGGAAGGTCGGAGCCGGTGGCAATGAGTGGCAGATTTCCCCAGGGGACACGGAGCAGTGTCCAGAGATTTGGACGGGCAAGTGGGGGAGCGAGACTATCCCCTACTGGGTGCAGTCTCGGGATGCCAGCAAACATCTTTTTTTAAAGATTTATTTATTTTCAAAGTCAGAGTGATGGGGTCGGGGCAGGGGAGAGAGAAAGAGAGAGAGAGAGAGAGAGAGGTCTTCCATCTGCTGGTTCACTTCCCAGATGGCCGCAATGGCCAGGGCTGGGCCAGGCTGAAGCCAGGAGCCAGGAGCTTCTTCTGGGTCTCCCACATGGGTGCAGGGGCCCAAGGACCTGGGCCATCTTCCACTGCTTGGCCAGGCCATTTAGTAGGGAGTTGGATCCGAAGTGGAGCGGCTGGGACTCAAACCGGCACCCACATGGGATGCCAGCGTCACAAGATGTGGCTTTATCTGCTATGCCACAATGACAAATAGCTTACAATGCACAGGACATCCTCACAACTGGAATTAGCTAGATTTAAAAAAAAAGCCGCAATCAGGAGTCCGGGGCCTAGAGGAAAGCTGGAGAACCAGACACGGTCCTGGCCCGGATCTGCTGCTGGTGCTCTGAGACCTGGCCCGACTCACGCCCCCTCTCCTCACTCCTCACCTCCTCTGCAAAGGGAGGCCCCCGCCTGTTTGTCCATTCAGCGTGGATGTCTCAGAAGACACGAGGCAGCAGGTGAGACTATGGGAATAAGCATTAGGGCACTGGCGCTGTAGCAGAGGGTTTAGCTGCTGCTTGAATACCCGCACCCCAAATCGGAACGCCATAATCCGTTACCTGAACTGTGCCCCAAACCGTGAGCCAAGGCTCCCTGGAGATGAATGCACGCACCTGTGTGTCATGCAGCCCTACTCCAGGATGGTCCCGCGAGAAGGCTGCACACGGGCTGTGCCACGGTTCTCCAGGGGATTCTGATGTACCGCCAGGAAAACCGGCTCCTTCCTCCACCTGCCCGTGCAGCAGGCCTCCGGCTGGGCTGCACACCAGAACCAGCACCCAGCGCCACACCCCACATTCCCGCATCTCCACATCTCTGGGCTGGGACTCAGGCATCAGCAGTTGTCAGGGTTCCCCCAGCACGGATCCCAGGAACGGGCAATGGTGGAGCAGTCGCTGCTCCTGGTTAAAACACACACGCATCATTGAGCACCTGTGTTGGTTTCTGAATCAGCCTCCCTGCCCTCCCGTGCCCACAAGGCTGGGTAGGATACCTCCCACATCCTAGGCTCTCGAGGACGAACGAGCACTTGGGCAGATAGATGGAAGAGTTTTTATTTCATTTCCTCTGCCAGGAGCTTCATGGGGGCCACACCCGATGGACCAAGTTTCAAAGAGAAGACGGAGATGGAAGGATTCTGTAGCTTGAAAATCAGTACAAAACCACAGGTTCCTGGCCAGGGGCAGAAACCTGACTACGTTTCCCAGAGCAGTTCTGTTGTGTGTCCCAGGCACCTGCGGCTGTGTCCATAATCCTAACACAGCTTTGTTGCAATAGAGTGATCAGAGCTCTCTGCCTCACTTAAAGATACCTCGAGGCACGGCCAAGCCTGTTTATTTCCATTAAAGCTAAGTGTGACGCGAGCAGGGCCCGAGAGAACACGCGTGTGCCTGGTGTGTTACTGCGTGGTGAGGCCCATGGTCTGCTCCATGGCCCGCGTGTCCTCGGCTGGTGGCTGGGGCAGATCCAGCATGGTGGACGAGGCATTCCTGGGGTTCCCGGTCACCAGCATCCAGTGGTTCTTCGGTTTTTCCACTCTGTGCGAATCCAGGTATGTGTGAGCCACGACCTCGGCCTCCCTTCCAAAGTAGGTGCTGGAGTGGGAGAGTGAATTCTGGTTGGAAACCGAGTGCAGCATCCAGCAGCACCTAATGAGGCAGAGAGCTGGGGGAGGGGGAAATCGCACCTGCTCTGGGCAGAGAGCAGGTGGGGGGAGAGGGGGAGGGCTTCTCATGATTGACTTGCGATAAAGAGGGGGACTCGGAGTTAAGACGCCATGTCCCCCATCAGAGTACCTGGCTGCACACGCAGCTTCAGCTCCCTGCTTATGCAGACCCTGGGAGGCAGCAGAGGTGGCTCAGGTACTGGGGTCCCTGCCACCCATGGGGGAGACCTGGAGGGAGTTTCTGGCTCTCAACTAGGGCCCAGCTGAGTCCTGGCTGTTGCAGGCATTGGACGAGTGAACCAACAAAGGGAAATGCTGTCTCTCTCTCTCTCTCTCTCTGCCTCTCAAATAAACAGATAAATAGGGCTCCAATAGGATTTTCTCACTGTAAATATTCCATGTAACAATATTTCATCATTCAAGGACTTTTTTTTGGATGTCTGGCCATATTCTTTAAATTGAATCCCTTTGGAGCCAGAGCCGTGGCATGGTGGGTTAAGCCGCCGTGTGCAGCCCCAGCATCCCATAGGGGTTCCAGTTCGAGTCCTGGCTGCTCTACTTCCAATCCAGCTCCCTACTAATGGGCTGGGAAAAGCAGTGGAAGATGGCCTAAGGCTTCGGTCCCTGCTGCCCACATTGGAGCCCTGGAAGAAGCTCCTGGCTCCTGGCTTTGGCCTAGAGCAGCTCTGGCCATTGCGGCCATCTGGGAATGAACCAGCAGATGGGAGATCTCTCTTTCTCTGTCTCTCCCATTCTCTGTAACTCTGCCTTTCAAATAAATAAATAAATCTTTTTTTAAAATCAAATTCTTGGAATGGGCATTGTGGTACAGCAAGTTTGGGATGTTTGCGTCCCATATCAGAGCGCCAGTTCAAGTCCCAGCTACTCCATTTCTGATCCAGCTTCCTGCTCATGCACCTGCAAAGGCAGTGGAAAATGGTTCAAGTGCTTGGGCTCCTGCCACCCACGTGGTAGATCCGGATGGAGTTCCTGGCTCCTGCCTGGCCCAGTCCCAGCTGCTACGGGCATTTGGGGAGTGAACCAACAGACAGAAGATCCTCTCTCCCTCATTCTTTCTCTCTCTGCCTCCCTCTCACTCTGCCTTTCAGATAAATAAATCAATACATCTTTAAACCAATAAGCGAATAAAGTGAACTCTGCATCTTACGCCCACAGCTCGTTCCCAGCCCTGTCCCCGCTCCGCGATGCCCTACCTTAAAAACAGATGCCGGTGGGCGGCCAGAGCCCGGTTGGTGTGGCGGTGAATGATGAGGATCCTTGTGTTGGCCTTCGGATAAAGGGAACTGCGGTCAGTCTCTGACCTAAGGCCTGCCGCTCCCTAAAGGCAAAACTTGGGAAACACACTTTACATTCATTCCCATTTATAAAGGGGAAGGAGCCGGAGGGAGGTGCTTACAGGGACACACCCAACCTTCCTGGGAAATGCAAAAACTTCAAAATACCCCTGTCTACATACTTCTCGTAAAACACATTTTCTGAGAAGTGTTTGAAGACCCCTCAGGTGCAAAAACGGATAAACTTTTAATTCCACTGCCCAGGAATGTTGTGAAGTCTCCCTGTGTGTGTGTGTGTGTGTGTGTGTGTGTGTGTAAAAATGTCCTCCAAGCTATGAGAAAGAACCATATGCCACCAGTGCCTTCCGGCAGGGCTCGTGAGCAAGTCCTCTGGGAGTGGCAGATCCAGGGTGATGGACAGGGAGTGGTGGCCGTGGGAGGCCAGCTCAGCCAGCCAGCTCTGTGACTCCTGTCAATCCCACGCCGGCCCGGTGACTTCCTCCCACAAGCCCTCACTCTCCGCCTGCTTAAGCCCTCAGGAACTGCCAAGCCCCTTGCTGGAGAGGGAGCAAGTCCTGTCCTGTGCTTTTGCCCAACAGGTTGACCCAGAAGAGGCTGGGGTTCTGATAAACGCCCCCTAGTGGGGGCCAGCGCTTTAACATAACAGGTAAAAGCCACTGCCCGCGGTGCAGTGTCAGAACCCCACATGAGCGCCGGTTCAAGTCCCGGCTGCTCCACTTCCAATCCAGCTCTCTGCTGTGGCCTAGGAAAGCAGTAGAAGATGGCCCAAGTGCCTGGGCCTCTGCACCCGCATGGGAGACCCAGAGGAAGCTCCTGAGAGGCCTGAATGAAAACCGTGTGCGCACAAGCAGTGTGGCAGCCATTCTGACCCCTCTGCAGGGGTGACAAGCTGATGCCAGAGGCTGGGTGATTCTCACCTGCACCTAGAGGAGGGAACACACCTGCGGCCTGTGAGCTACGAGAAACCCCCATTGGACAGGTGTGGTAAGCGGCGTGCTCTCCACGGGCTCAGCACCCGCGTCCTCCCGAGGCTGCGCTCACCGGAATGGGGCAGCCCTCGTACTCCAGGCGCAGCTGGGGGTCGAGGAAGGTGGCCTGCCAGCAGTTCAGGTGCGAGACGTCATCGGTCAGCGTCACCTCCTGCAGCCAGGACCTCTTGGATGACTTCAGAAGGGTCCTGTGGTCACTTGATAAATACAACTGGAAATGACAGCGCTCGGGTGAACTGAGCCCCAGCCACTCCAAGGCCTGGGGAAATACGCGGTACTTCCAGAAACTCAGGGAAAATTAGATTAAAAACCAAGTTTACTTTGGTACAAAAAAATGTTGAAAGGGGTCTTCCAAAAGTTCATGGAAATTGGGTATTACTGAAAGCTACACATGGGTTTCAAACTTTTTACACCAAAATAAATATTTCTTAATTCTGTTTCTCCACAAACTTTTTGAAGTATATCAATTTTCTATATTTTTAATCAAATTAGAATAGTTTTTATTTTTTTTTTATTTTTATTTTTGACAGGCTTAGTGGACAGTGAGAGAGAGAGACAGAGAGAAAGGTCTTCCTTTGCCGTTAGTTCACCCTCCAATGGCCGCCGCTGCAGCCGGCGCACCGCGCTGATCCGATGGCAGGAGCCAGGTACTTATCCTGGTCTCCCATGGGGTGCAGGGCCCAAGCACTTGGGCCATCCTCCACTGCACTCTCTGGCCATACCAGAGAGCTGGCCTGGAAGAGGGGCAACCGGGACAGAATCCGGCACCCCGACCGGGACTAGAACCCGGTGTGCCGGCGCCGCAAGGTGGAGGATTAGCCTATTGAGCCACGGCGCCGGCCAAATTAGAATAGTTTTAATTATGCTATGTAATATGATTAATGAAGCAGTAGGTGGTTATTCTTGTCTATCCTACCTAAGAGTACAAAATGGCACCGTTACAAATAATGTTGAAATGTGTGTCAATTCTTTTACATGGATCCTCATCCATAAAATTCCTTGACTCAGCAATTCCATGCCAAATAAGATCTATCATCAGGATAGAGTCTCGACGCCTGGCTGGCTGGGTGGAGACAGTCTGAGGCATTCATGCCCACGTAGCCACAGGCAAGTGTATACGCAGTGCATAGCTATCGGATCGATCCGATCAGCCAAAGGAGACGAACG